ACCCGTCGTTCCGGCGTCGACGGTCCTTCCTACGTCTCTCCCTCGCACGGTGAATCCGCGATCAACCGCAATCCGTGCTCCGACGTTTCTCGTTTCGTTTCTCTACGTTCGCGCGCGTTCTCGTTCTCTGCCTCGCCATTTTTGTTCTCCGTTCACGGCGAATCGTGTTCCGTAAATCGTTCTCGCATTGGCTCTATCGATCTCGATCGTGGAATTACGATCGAACGGTTTTCGTGGATTCGAGGGTACATCAGTGAAGCGACGGTGGTTTGGTAGGCAACCGGAGTGGATCAGTGTCGTTCGGTATCGACTCGATATATTTAAACGATCGGTCATCACGGTGATAGAAGCGCGTCGGTGATCAACTCCAGACTGATTGGCTCCTTGGAGGAGGATCAGCTGATCTCGTGGTCGCTAGAAAGCAGCGTGTCGATCGTCGGGTGAATAGTTTCTAGCGAGAATCTTTGATTCTATGCGCGGGGTGATTGGCTTGTCGGTTTCTCAAAGTGGTCCGAACGCGTAGTTCTTGTAAGTATTTGAGAGATTACTCGGGCGTCGGTGGCTTTCAAGCATTTGGAATGTTTTCGTGATAGAGAACCGATCTCCATGTTGGGCCTCGATCGTGGTTAATTGGTTGAGTTTATAGGCACTACAGCGCAACGGTGCAATGACATAACTGGTTGTTCAATTTCGAAACCTTCGATCGTGACTTTTTTATGTTCTTAATATTAAGCATCGGAATTTGATTTTATTTTTCAATTAACTTTTATGGGATAGCGGGGTGTTTGTTTTTTTCATTCTGTCTCTTCGATAGGTGTTATTCGTATAGGATTCCTGGTGTCCTTTTTTTAATGGAAGCGAGAATGACTGCTTATATTTTTCGACGTTGGCGTGGCCAAAGATCGTAGAAGAAACGTATTCCACGTCGATGCGTCGCGATAAACAAGCGCAGACGCGCAGAATCCGCGTCGATTTATTACCGACAACTACGCACCAAAACTCGCCATACAAATAGAAGTTTCCCGCGACACGTGCGCTCGCCCAGATCCCTCTTCACCCTTCGGAACCCGGTTTCTTGGATCCATTTCGCGTTATAGAAGTCCAGACACCGCGTGCAATGCATCTTTATTTAACTTTATTTTCATCATCTTCGGTAGAATATATTTCACGGATTGTTCTAGGCATTTCTAAACCTTCACACTTGCTCTAATAAATTACCACCAATTAGTTCGTAGTTTATCATTTTACGTCATCGATCGATCATCCCCTAAACGAAGCGTTGATCGATCATTCCTTAATTACTTAGAGTAATACTTTCATCGAGGTTAGAAGTTTTTACATATACATAGACGAATATAAATTTGTTAATAACATTTAACTGCAAATATATTATTTATTAATTGCTGATTAATTCACAAATGCAAAATGATTTTAAATCTTATGATTAATGATATCGTTGTTTCAATTCAATATCATCGTTTTAAGCTGAATAATCCCCTAAATACTTTATTAGCTATTCCACAAACTGCAAAGTTTTTACTTTCTTTTACAATCTAAAAATTTTTTCAGATCGATCGAAAGGATCGTTTCACTGAGAAAGATATTCGACATCGACATGTTGGATCCTCGGCGTTCGTTCTCGCGAGATGTATCCGTACGGTTCATCAACCCCCGAGAAACCCGGGCAAATCGCACGTTGACGTCCCCTTCGCCCGCGTCCTTGCCCTCCCCCGGTCTTTTCCGCGATGACGACGCGTACAGCGTCACCGTGCGCCTCCTTAATGTCTTTGATTTTCGTTCGCGTTCCGAAAATAACGACGTGTCTTATAGATAGACGCGAGGGCGCGCGGACAGGCGAGATTCGGTGACAAAGCGGGCTTGCGCCGCGAAAATCTTCCTCTGTTCTTCCAAGGGTTACATACTCCGATTTTTCTTCCAGTTTTCGGTACAAAACTTATGGATCGAAGGAAATTTTATTTGAGAAGGAAGTGGATAACCTCGGAAATTTAAGTATCCGAGGATAGCATCTTGCAAAAGAGAGAAACGTAAAAACAACATATTGCGAGTTTCGAGTTACTTCGTATGATAAGATTTGTGCAATGAAACTTGTTAGAATTAAGCGTTTTGTTTAGCTATGAAATTGGCCTACAGGAGAGATACACTGCTTGAAACAACTGGAGGATCGTTTTCAGGTCTTCGGGTCGTTCCTTATTTCTGTACTTACTTTATTTTTAATAATTCTCCGTTTTTATTCGACCGGCGGGTGTAATAGAACCGGTTCATACTACCTTTTGTTTCTGATGAATTCCGATTCGATTCTTGTTCCGATTGTTTTGAGCAGTGTAAATGAAAAATACAAAGAATCGTTAGCCACGATCGAATTCCCTTATTAATCGCCACCGATCGTCCCGTAATCGAGACCGATCAAACCACCGCAAAACCATGGTCCGTTTTCCCGCAGCAGAAACCCATTGGAAGATTGAAGCTTCTCCCGCTAGACATCGTCTCCCTCGAGGAAGCCAATAAATCCTCGAGAGAACGCAGACAACGAAGGAGAAACCCTTTACTTCTCTGCTTGCTCGAGCATGCTAACGAGACGCAACCAGGAAGAGACCTCCTCAAGATAGTTGGAAAAAAAATCTTGCGAGAAGAACATCCACCAAATAAGTTCAAAGACAGAAAGAAATAAAGAGATTGAAATTGACCATAAGGTCGGTTCGTTGATCCCAGGTGAAAAGAGGAGGAGAAGAAAGTCGTCGGAGAGGTGGTGCAGATGAGGCCACGATCAATCTGCGACAGGGTGGCGGAGGAGTATTACGAGCCTGACGGTTGTTATTGCGAAAATCGGTGCTTCTGACAGCCGGACTGCAGGAGGGACAGACAGACGGTAGTGTGCCACAGCAGCCGCAGTGCTTGCGAATACTCGATGGTTCGTGTCGTTTGACGCTTGTTCCAAAGGCCAGCCTCGTGTTCTTCCTCGTCCCTTCGCCTTTCCTCTGACGTATCGCATCGTCGCGTAGTTTCGATTCTGCGGTTTCGCATCCTTTATCGGTGAGCTGCGATAGCACGGACGATAGCTCGAGATAAACTGTAGCGTGTTCTTTTCGATTTATGCTTGTGTCTTCCTCTTCCCCTCGCCTCTTTTCATCGGATTAGACTTCTGAATCAGAGCATAGCAATGGTAGGTTAATTTTACGAAAGTTCCGAAGTATGACCGAGATTTTTTACGATCGTTGATCGTTTTAAGAAGCCTGGAAGATAAGAATTTGAAATGAAGGATATTATCTTTATGATTCAAAATTTTACAACAAGGATTTCTTAATGGACGATTTTCAGGGTTTGTCAAAGGGCAGATTGACAAACTCGATTTTTTGTTAATTCATAGAGATGATCAATGTGATCGTGGAATGACTCATATTTCGAAAAAATTACTAAATTTATTTTCGATATGTTACTAAAATATACAGACGGAAGTATTGTCTTGTTAATGTTCAGTAAATAATGCACGTAAAACTATTTATCACGTTTCTTTTACGTAATGACAGACTGGTTATACATAGATCATATCTTATCTGTAAAATTTCAACTATCCCTTCTCAATCTTAAATTACATCTTCCCCTATGTTACACTCTAACAATTTTTCAACCACACGTCATTAGCGTACCACTCAATCAATATGCAAATTCCTATCGTTCAATAAGACCCTTTCTCGTGCGCAAGAATATGTCTAAAGAGTAGAAGATGAGATTGCAGGTAGGCGATATTGTTCTGCCGACAAATATTCCATCGAGCAAGGTTTTCATCTCGGCGGAAAAGTCGTCGCAAATTCATCTCTCTAGAACGATGTTTACATCCTCTTGAAGCGTGAATCGCGGAATTCTATACGAGAAATCGCATTTGCCTGACAAAGGCAAACGCCGTCGATCTCTCGACCAATAATCGATCTCCCTCTTTTCCCGGTTCTCCCTGTCGCCCCGTCAACCGGAAACGAAGGTTCGGCCGTGTCTTCATTCCGGAACAGTTCGAAGTGCAGATAAGGGCCAGGTTTCCTCAGGATGTCCGCGACTTTTTCCTCTCTCTTATCTTTCGTTGGAATAAGAATTCGAACAATTTGTCTACTTCAGTTTTTTCACTGAAAGTTTTTATTTTCCAAATCTTCGCTGCATAGTAGTTTCGTCGGATCGGATTCTGAGTATTAAACGGATAGGATATTTAGGAATTATTTATAAATTACGAGACTGAACTTTTGAGACCACTGTGAGTCGAATCGAATTGCATGAAAGCTAGTTCAAAAATTTGCACTATCCTTGCACGATTATATGCAAATAATAAGCTTATAAACTATTTTATCCGAGAACGAGAGGACACCTTTTTTACGAGACTAATCCCTATGATCCACTCTAACTTAGCTTTCAACCATACGGATATTCGTTTCTCAACAATTCTACAAGAAAATAAAAACAAAAAGAAAAAAAGAAAAAGAAAAATACTTAAAAAGAATACAATTGCAAATCGGACATCCACCACTATTGCTGTTACTATTCTTTAAATCCACCAAGAGCCCTAAGGAATAGAGCTTCGAATAATCGCGCGCCTAAACAGAATTTGAACGACCAATCAGCTATTTTCCCAGTGGTGTTTTCGTTCGAATTCGATTGCACGACGCTTTCGTCGTCTTTTTCGAGTGAAGCGCGCACAGAGTAAACATCGACGGTGGCTCGTGTTTCCTTTGGGCTCGAAGGGGTTTCGAGGATAACCCTCGTTCTCGACGGACGGAATTCGACCGGACAAACGCGTCGCTAATCAATTTGTGACCGTTTCTGCCCGCAGGATGAGTTCCATCCATTCATTGAGGCCCTCCTACCATTCGTAAAGTCTTTCTCGTACACGTGGTTCAACCTACAAGCTGCCAAGAGGCGTTACTACAAGAAACACGAGAAACGGATGAGTCTCGAAGAGGAACGTCAGTGCAAGGAGGAGCTCCAGGTGAGTGATTTCTTCGATATTTTTTTTCTTTCTTTCTTTTCGTAAATAGAGACGAGACGTCGAACACGATGTTAGCACACGGATAGATTTGTCAATGTCGAATTTTAGATTTCTAAATCTGCTAGCTTCGTACATTAGCAAACTGCTATAGCACTGCACAGTGTTGATCGATGTTTTTCACTTTATAAGCATTGACATATTTTCTAAAAAAGTGCGGAAACTAGGATAAGATTTATTTCACAATATATCGTTAACAATGTGTTGTTAAGGTAGTAAATTATGCGGGAAATGTTTTATATCGTTCTGAAATGGTTCACGTGTTTACACATATATGTATACAGAATGGGCTGTGTGTTTACCTATAGGATTTTTTAGTCGAATAATTTTGTACGTTATATCTAGTATCATACTAAAGCAATAAGCTTGTACACGTAAAAATTGGTAAAGGGAAGACGCGAGAGACGAGAAATTATGGTCGCTTTGACCTGACGAGGCGTCAAATTAAGGCGTTTAATTTCGAAGCATTTAAGTTGGCTAGTTTGAAGCGTAGGAGGAAAATTCAGGTATTAAACGTGGGAGTCGTGGATGAAAACGATACACAAAGGTGCACACGCCATAACGAATCGATATGCCAGGTCGAATCGCGATAAAAGTTCCAGCGAGGCTCTTCGTCGGCGAATGCCAGCGGACGTTTGCACGAAACCGAGCTAGTCGTCGACACGGAGGTGTGCTACGGCCTGCTAATTTCATGGTTAAGAATAAAAATAATGAGGTTTCGGCCTATTTCTGGCGCAGAAGCGTCCTCGTGACGCGCGCTATCGCTCAGCCTCAAAGCCAGTAGCTCTCAATCGTCCTGCGTCTCGTCTCGGAAACCTCTTTATTAATAGAACGATTTAGCGCGGGACCAGGGACATTAACGAGGCATAGCGTGAATCACGAAACGCTTCGTTGCTTATTTAATTTTTGGGAAGTTGTCGTTGCTAGATTTTTCTCTGCAACGTCGAATGTTCGAATATTTAAGCTTTTGCATTCTGGAATTTAACTATCTACTGGCATCGGTGAATCGCAAGTTTGGATTTGGCTATTTCGCCTTAAACGAAACGAGATACAAATTCGTCGTGTTTATTTTATCGAGTTAGGGAATTGATATTCGAACGAGACTAGCATCTTGCCTCATCGTCGGTTTACCAGTAAAATCGTGGCAAAGCCTAACAAATAATATGTTTACTCTATTCGACGCACAAGTACCTCACGAATTTCCCGATCCATCGCTTCTCAACTGAGGCTAATATTTTGTTTCGCCACTGGTTGACCAGTAAGATACCAATAAAATCCTTGGTCGCATCTACGGGAATGCCCAGATAATCCCAAAAGGTAACGTTCAGGCCGATCGACCTCGACTCTGTCGAACAAAAGTTCAATTAGGGGGGCAGAAAATAAAATAACGAACAAACAGGCAACTGAAAAAAGGAAAGCAACGCGAATAAAGAAGGAAGAGGGAGAAGGGAGGAAAAACGGAAGAGAAGTCGGTGAACCCCGGATATTGAGCGAGGTTGGCGCGTCGGCTCGGTTCGACGAGTCATTGACATTCGAATTTTCGGCCGGACCGCAATCTTTTCCCTTGGTCCTTTTTTTCTCTCCCCCGGTGGCGGCCTTCGCCACCATCCAGCCTCTCTCCCAACCCCCAACGACCGGTGCACCGCTAACATTCGGCTGGTCCTCTCTTTCTCTCGTCTATCCACCGCAATTCGTATTCTCCCTCGCGACGCCGTTCGATCAATATTTTAATTTCGCGATGCTGCGGTATTTAGCGGGACGAAAAGAACGAACGGGCCGGTGCTCGTGAAAGAAGCTATCCTATAGTAGAATGGAGGGGGGATCGATGGATCGTCGACTTCAGGGGAAATCGTCGGCCAACGACCATCTTTTTTTTCGCTAACTCCCTGTTTTACGACTGTATCGTACGATTGATTCGACGCGAATTAGAATCCGATACCCGATGACAGGTGAAACGGGGCGCAAATGGAGGGACAACGACGGTTTCAAGATTCTTTGATACGCGGAAATAAGCAGTCGGTTTTTTCGTGTGACTTTAAAAGTCCTAAAAATTGTCAGTCAATGTATGTATTTAGGTTTGAGTATCTAGGTACTACTACGCGATTTTTTTAGTTTCGTCCTTCCTTCGAACAAGCTAATTTTCCAAGTCACGAATAGGACTTCGATGGAATGGCGATTGGCATGATACAAATTTTTCCCGGGGGTCGCTGCGTGGAAGTTTTTAAAAACGAAAGTGCCTCGGAGCCGTAGGCGCGCGCGGGTCGCGTTGAATTTTACATGAAGTACATTTAATCTGCGTCGCACGAAGCCCTGCAGGCTCGGCCGAGCCCTGTACCATTATATAGACGGGCTTTATGAAATTGTGACCGAGCGTAGAACAGGGCCCTATTCGCAGAACCCATAATCGACGATATCTGTTTGCGAGTCTGCTCGTTTCTCCTTTGCCATTTTAATTAACTTTTGTCAACGATCTTTCTTCTTCAATTCGAATTTATCGTTGGTTAGGGTTTCTAAATCTTGTTTGGCTTTCGGTTACTTTTTATCGAAACATTTTACATATATGTTTTCGAATATCTTACTTCATTCTTTGTAGTGCCACGTGACTTGAAAGTTATTCGTATACAGATTGTAGATATTTATGCAATTCTGGGATATTTGAAAGCGTTAAAGTACACAGAATGCACATAATATGCAAAAGCGTGATATCCAAAGTATAGCACTCTTCACGATATTTGGTAAATAAGATTTTCTGCTTAGGTTTCATTTGTTCACTTACGGTTATAAAAAGTTCGAATTCGCATAAATATCAACAGCCTACTCGTGTATATTTTACTATTTTATTTTATCACTGCATCGTTGTGTCGGCATCCCTCCAAGAAACATTATCCAACGTTAGGTTCAGATTAGATTTAGGTCACATTCAAACTTTGAAAAGCAATAGCAAGTTACTACTGTACGCTGTTGGAAAGGATGGAGGACTAAAAAGAAGATTGGGAGTTGGTTCGAACTCGCGTTTGATTCATCCATTTTCGTATCGTTTTTCCGAACGAACGAATCGATCTCGGTAATCGGGCGACAACACATTCGTCGACCTGAAATTTTCGAGCTGGTAGAAAGCCGCTCGACACACAGGCCACGTACGCAGATGCTTTCCAGAAAGAGCCGGGAAAAAAAGCGATACACATTTCATGGCGTTCGCGGATAAAAAGCGACGACGTGCATGACTCGTTGACATGCGACACTCGTCCCCGCGGAAAATTGGAATGGACGTTTCCAGAGAAGAGAGACCTCCTCTCTTTCTCACCCGCCTCCCCTCTCTCTCTCTCTCTCTCTCGTATACTCTTCTCTTTTCTAATCGCGATCTTTGAAAGCGGACCGATTCGAACAGGAACATGTTCCACTCTCGGACACTTTCTCTGAGTCTACATATTTCTCGCCATTTACATACATACTTTACGCCATTTGTAATCGTTGAATAAATTGGAACTTCCGAGGTTGTGTCACTAAACCTAGAGTTATTTTTCCGAATCGGTTGAGGCGATCGCGAAAAAATAAAGAAACTTTTACTTCAATACGATGACTATATATCCGTTATATTTCAATCTAAGTATTGCAGCTGCCAGAGCAAAATAACTTTGGTATCTTGGGACCTTGCAGGTCTCTGTAACATTCCCTCCTCCCTTCTTTAACATTTCTGGGCAAAGTGGTTTTCGATAAAGAATGAGAATTTTCAAGTATCTGTTTATTGAGAAATTTCGACTTGAAAATTTTATACGGTTTGATGGAGAATTCATTCTTCACGGTTCATTCTTCGTATCCCACTATCACTGTTATATTTCTCGTACCATTTTCATCGATAAAGAGAATAGTTAAGAGACAATTGTCAATGTATAAATAAATTCTTCGCAACAAAATCCTTGCTATCTGGAAAAGTGCCGCTATAAGAGTATACCGTAATCGTTGACAATCGTATCGTAAAAACTTCGGTAACGCGAAGGATTGAATTGGTTAAATCCGTAGTTTGAAGTTCATTTAAAGTTTGGCTGCGGTCTAATCAACAGTCTAAGTGGTGGGACATAAATAAAGAAGAGGTGCTTTGTAGTCGAGAGCGTTATCTAGATAGGAAAAGGGGGATTTGCAGTCGGTTGCCTATCTACGGCATAATTTATAGTCCAAAGCCTCGCGTAAAATAGAAAATAGCTACTTTGTAGTCCGAATTCTAGGAAAAGGGGATTTGTAGTCCGTGCTTCATCCTGTGAAACAAAAAAACGTAGTTCGCAATCTTAAAATCGATCGTATAAAGTTGAGAACCGTAATTCGTAGTCTGCTGTTTCTCATGTATGCGGGATAAGGACATTGTACAGAATTACACTTTAAACACGATGTAAAACAATTCTCCTCGTTTTGTTTCGTTGCTAAAATCTCAGCCTGTAGCCGCGCGTAAAATCATAAGAAAAATTCTTTGCCGATTCGCAGTTAGAATCGTGATCGATGTCCATTCTTTAGAAGGATGTCTTATATCGGATTGAATCGCGTGACGTAAGGCAGTTTCGCATTGTTCGAGAAAATCAAGACTTTCGAGGTCTCTGAGCGTTGCAATTAAAAGTTTGCACGCCTCAACCCCTTTATCGATACCGCATTAATCACCCGACAGTCCGCAATTTACCTGTAGTCCGTCTCTGCCTCCTTTGTAAAAAGAAAGATTCTATTAATAATCGAGACTCGGTCGAAAGAAATATCAGAGAACAGTTATTGGAATTACGAAAGCTTACCTCGTACTGTTTACGTATCCGAGTACCCCGAAACGACCGATAATCGCGGCTCGTCGATACGCGATTAACCCCTTCGGTGAAAGGTCTCGTTCGACGGCGAGTGCCCTCGAAAAAACACATCCTCTCCCCTTGATTCCCTTGGGGGCTACCTAAAAAAAAAAGAAAAAATTC